AAATCATAGACGCTGCTGATCAGACTCCAACTCAGATTATAAAGTGAGTGTTTGATGACCTGTTCAGTTATAAACCAGTAGCCCGTCTGCTGGTGATGGATGAATGCCGAATGACCTCAAAAGCGATTTAGTCACTTCCTTTGATTATCAGCTTGCTTATCAGCTGATTAGCAGCTTCATTGTCTTCTAACCCTTTCAAGGACAAACTAATTGGGTCCGGTATTTGTTAAATCCCCGCTTCTAGTTAATATGGAGGTCCTCCTTATCGCGTCCTCCTTTCAAATGTTCAGGTGGTTTGATTCACAAACAAATCATCTGGCACCACTTGTAGCAGAGATTCAACCAATAAGTCTCACCCTACTGGAATATTTTTATTTTCACATTTCTTTGCCAAGCCCAAAAACGCTGTTCCTCGTTTTTCGAAATGGATGTTCAATAAATTATCCTTCAGCATAAGACCGGTTGAATATTGATCCCAATGAACGCCAAATTTTGAATCCATTTGATCCATTTTGAATCCAACTATGTACTAATCAATATGTGGGTGGCACTGTCCGATACACTCTCTAGCTATAAAAAAAGAAGCATCGAAGTTTTTCAGACCTGGAAGTTGACCAGTTTGCATCCATCAAGTTATTTACTTCCCAACCAATTAATCAGTTCTACTAAATCTGAGGGCTGCACTCGTCCGCAGGCCGAATTCTACCATTCTGTTAATTGGAGTCCTCAGCTAACTGAAGGAAATTCTGATAGTTTCACTAGCACTTCGTGCATTACACAAACTGAGCAAAATTTGCAGTATTTGGTTATTTCTGAAGCGGCCTATTTCACACCGGATTAAGCTCTGCATTGAATAGTAACCCGATGGATACAGCACATCCATTGTAACCAATGGCATCCAAAGTGTACTAACTGCATCAATCCCAGCACTAGGGAAAGTAAAGTAGGCTTTCCATTGATTTCAAATCCTTCCGTAAGTAGCCTATAGCATTGTTTCGTCAGACTTCAGCGCCGAAATATGGCGCGAAAACAAACGTCTGATGAGATACGACCAATCTTGTATGGGAAGTAAGTATGAAAAAGCGGGGGGTTCTGACGTTTTTACTCCCTCACATTCGTGCGAAAGAATTGCCAGCTGTAGACAGGTCTTGTTTTTGTCCAAATAAAAACCAACTGCCCCACGATGTGTTGTTTGGACCGACTTTGTCTTTGCAGGTGTTCAAAAAGTACTGAAGCATCGGTCCATTGGTGCTTTTAACATGAAAGGAGATGAAAAACCAGAATGGGATTAAGCTTGAGGCATGTGTAACCGCTTCACACTTGTCCTCTAAGTCTGTACAGAATTTTCTGATTTAATAAGACACACAGAAGCTTGGTTATGTTCAGTTTGCAACGATTCTACCATCTAACAGTACTCTTAGGATAATACTACTCCCATATACATAGCACTGCTCTTAATTTAAAATCGTATTCTGATCTCTCAGGAGGGATCAAAATTTCATTTAACTTCGGGAAACATTACCTAAGATGAATACAGTACGGTTGGAATATCTTTATTCATCCTCCA